TAGCTGGGATTACAGGGGCCTGCCAAAACGCCTGGCTAATTTTTGTATTTTTAGTAGAGACAGGGTTTTGCCACGTTGGCCAGGCTGGTCTCAAACTCCTGACTGCACTGGAGTTGTTATTACATAAACATTATACAACCTTTATTTCATTTTAATTAAAGAAACACTTTGTTTCCACTTAATTTATTTATGTATCTATTTTTTTTCAGAGACAGGGCCTTGCTTTGTCACCCAGGCTGGATTGCAGTGGCGTCATCTCCACTCACTGCAACCTCCACCGACTCCCAGTTTCAAGCATTCTCCCACCTCCGCCTCTCAAGTAGCTGTGACTACAAGCGTGTGCCACCACACTTGGCTTATTTTTATATTTGTAGTAGAGACGGGGTTTCACCATGTTGCCCTGTTGCTGGTCTCGAACTCCTGAGCTCAGGCAATCCACCCGCCTCAGCTTCCCAAAGTGCTGGGATTACAGGCATGACGTGCCACCCGACCTGTTTCCACTTTTTACTTAAAACGTGTTTCTCTGGCATGCTTTCTTTTAATTCTAACTAAAAAATTGAGCAACTCTTCTTTAAAAACAAACAAAAAACCAACAGAAAAGATTCTCTGATATTTAAATTTCCTCTGTCCCCTAGCAGCTAGAGAGAGAGAGCTACTGCTGTGGGATAATGCAAAATTGAAGACCCTTAAGAAAAGGCTGGGTCCTATTTCTGTGCAATATGGAGATTGACGGAAATGTGTACAGCTGTCATCTTGCTCTCCTTACATAATTTTGTCATTAGGAAAGTAATCTGCACAACAGATACTTTGAAGTCCTTTTCCCTGCACTGATAATTTTCAGATGACATTGCTCTCATCTTTAAAAAAGGTGTAATACTTATAAAGTTTTTTCCAAACAAGAAGAGGCTTCCTGGCACTCCCACTTCTTCCCGCTGCATGCACAAGGTATCATATCTATCGTTTCCTTTTTAAACTGAGAGTTGAAGAGTCTTTTCTTCCTTTACATAAATCAATTACAGTGATTTTATCCAAAATAGTATCAAATATTAATAGCTCAGATTCGCATGGAGGCCATGCACCCAGTCTTCGCGGGTGCACACCGGCCCTGTCCCACGCACCCTCCCTTTCCCTGCCTCTCCTGCACTCGCGGGCCCGGGATCCTCGCCCCGTCCACCCAACGCTCACGCATGTCTCAGTTCGGGTTCTGCGCCCAACCAGGTCTGCAGAACTCCCGGTGCTAACTGTGTTCCTTTGCAGAAATTCAGGTTGCCTGGCGGGGCTGCTCTAACCTCTGAGCCGGGCGCTGACTTCTACCTCGCAGAACTCCAAAGGTCGCTGCCAGGTCAACGACCACAATGAACTGGCGAGGAGGTAGAGTGAGGCCGTTCCAGGAGCAGCTGAGAAATGTACTTTCAGGTTACATTGGCCGGATCGCAGTAGCCTGTGGGAAACGTAGTCCGGAGCCGTCACACCGCCGAGCATGCGCGACGCAGTCCACAAGTCCTCCCACCGGCGCCCGGAGACTTCTGGGAGCTCCCGTCCGGCTGAGAGTGCGCAGGCGCAGGCGCTCGCAGAGCTGGAAGCTGTAGACCTCCAAGCTGGGTGACTTTGGGGAGTCGGGGGGCGACTGACACCTGAGGCCCGAAGTAGGTGGCCAGCTTCTTAGAGGGCCAACCCAGGGCAGTAACACACCAGGTCAGAAAAAGCAAAAACAAAAACAAAAAATGATAATGTATACCAAAATATGTTATTACTTTAACACAAAAATATGAAAACTAGGTGTTTGAAATTATCTCTCCGTACTGTTTGCTGTTCGCTACAGAAACACTATTATTTAACAGAACATTAATACGATTGAAAGGAATGAGGCACATCCCCCATATATCTCCCAACTTCCTGAGCCCAGCACAAACACATTCCTCCATATTTCTTTCAAACTTCAGAAAAACATCACCTGGGAGATCTCCGATAAGGAATGCTAAATGTATAATGTTAACCAATTGTAATGCTGTAACCGAGAGAATTACCTTGTTCCCTGTAACTTTACATATCCTGTTTACATCGGGCTATAAAAAGCAAGCACTGGCATTGTTCGAGGCCCTCTTGTATGCTGTGGAATGGAGGGACCAAGTTCGAACTTGTAGTAAAGATCGTTGCCGCTTGGCTTTGACTCTGGACTCTGGTGGTCTTCTTTGGGGAACAAACGGTCTGGGCATAACACGATTAATAGTGGCAATTTGACTGATCACGTGTGAGAAAAAGATATTTCTGTTCTCTGATACAGAAATTTTAAGTTTCTATTAAATATTTAAATTTTGTGGGTTCTATCTAAGATGCTAAATGTAAGACCTTTTAAAAGGAGAATGTAAATAAGACGAATCAAACAGACATTAACTATATGTAAAAGGCATTTATCTTTCTGTCCCATCATACGTTTAGGAGATATTTACTCTTTCTGGTTCCGTTTCCAGTAATACTTCTCCGTATTATCTGCCTGTAGCCTTTATGGCATTCTTCTTTTGGTTTATGTAATGCTAAAACTGAATACAGGCAAATGTGAAATTCACCTTGACTGTCAGCTCCGCTTTTGGTTTGTTTGCTTTGTTTTTGTTTTGTTTTGAGACAGGGTCTCCCTCTGTTGCTCAGACTGGAATGCAGTGGCGAGATCTCAATCTCGGCTCACTGTAATCTCCGCCTCCCAGATTCAAGTGATTCTCCCACCTCGGCCTCCAGAGTAGCTGGGACTACAGAGTAGTGGCCTCCAGAGGCGCGCGCCACTATACCTGGCTAATTTTTATATATTTTTTGTAGAGATGGGGTTTTGCCATCTTGCCCAGGCTAGTCTCGAACTCCTGGGCTCAAGTGATCCACCCGCCTCGGCCTCCCAAAGTGCTAGGATGACAGGGTGAGCCACCGCGGCCAGCTGAGCTCTGTTCTTATTAAGCCCACATTACAGTGATTCCTGGTGTCAGTCCAGGGTGATGACATTGATACGGAAGCGGTGAAGGGGAGTGCTGGGGAGGGAAGGTCGGGGTCCCTTTAAATGATACGGAAGGGGGGAAGGGAAGTGCTGGGTACAGGAGGGTGTGGTCCCTGGCTAGGGCTCCACCCCTGGCCCTGTGCCCACTGACCTAGTTGAGGACAGGCATTTTTGTTTTCCTGCCCAAATTTTGCATTTCCCAAGACCGCCCTGGCCTGCCACGCCCCCATCCTGTGCCTATAAACACTCCGAGACCCTAGGAAGCAGACAGACATGCCACCGGACATCGAGAGGAACATGTTGGCGGAAGAAGACGTGACAGACGCTGGCACGCGGGCAGGCCACCCACCAGGAGGACGCAGAGTTTGGCTGGGGCAGTCGGAGGAGAGCAGGTGCTGCGGAGCAGCCCGACTCCAGGGGAAAACCATCTGCCTTCTGGCTCCCCCAACTGTTGAGAGCTACTTCCACTCAAAACCCTGCAGTCATCCTCCAAGCCCATGTGTGATCTGATTCTTCTGGTACACCAAGACAGGAACCCCGGGATACAGAAAGCCCTCTGTCCTCGCGATGAAGCAGGGATCTAATTGAGCTGACTAACATAAACCGCCTGCTGACGGCTAAACTAAAAGGGCACCCTGTAACATGCCCACTGGGGCTTCAGCTGTAAACATTCACCCCTAGACACTGCCATGGGTCGCAGCCCCACAGCCCACCCGTCTGTATATTCCCCTGGGGGTTTGAGCAGCGGGGCACTGAAGAAGCGAGCCGCACCCCCATCGCACGCCCTGCCAGGAGGACAAGGGAACTTTTCCCTTATCAACATCAACCTAAACAACCTCGCAACAAAAGCATTTGACTGTGAATAGTTAGGATTTTTCCTACCAGCAGTAGCAGGTTTTTAGCCTTATTGGAATTAGTTTCTAGTTCTGCAAAAACGTTCGTCCGCTTTGTAATTCCAGGCTTTTTTGGTAGAGCAGCTGTTTGTTGACCAGTTGCTTCGCCTCTGTAAGTTCACCATGTAGGCTATTCATGTCTAAAGTGTCCATCATTTTCAAACCCTCTGAAACTCATTGGATATCTGTCATAATGTCTGAAGACAAATATTTCATTAACAAATAAGAAGGTGATAGACCTGGAGTGAGAATCCAGCCAGTTCATGTCAATCGGAGACAACTTTGCAAGATCCTGTGATTCCTGAACCAGCTGTGGTTACTGATCACTTCTGTCCTGGAGGAAGTAGAGACATTCAAGACAAATAAGGACTCATCTATTCCCCTGATTAAAGGACTTTTCATAGAGGCTCCATTAGGGGCCAAATTATGTACACTGTGCGGTCTGAGATGGGGATGTGTAAATAGCCATCAAAATGTCATCTGGGCAGAAATTTGTGAGGATAAATTTATGTTCAGGAGTGAGGGGTGAATACAATAGAAATTTGTATTTTGCAGAGGGGAATGTGAGTTCCATGGTGGGTAGAAATGCAACAGATTAGTAGAATACTTAGAATCTCAAAGAAATGTTTAAATCACAGGTGTTTTTGAGAAAATTTTTGAAATGATTTTGAAATTATTTATTCAAAAAGTGCCCCTCAAATACCAAGTGCCCACTCCATAGATGACAGCTAAGGATCACAATCTTACTGCTATGCCCTTGTGTTTTGAGTGAAGACTTGCATGACTCTAGTGAGGTTCTAGGTGTTTAATTGTTGAGGGTAAATTGGAGATTTCAGATGACGCTGTCTCAGGGAAGAGGGAGGAAGGATACGTACGAGCCCTACAGCTGGAATCTTAGCATCCAGTGGAAAATTACAGTCCCTGATCCCTCAGGAAATTTTCTCTGACCTCTGTCAGTGATGTTCTAATCCAGGAGAGCAGAATTTTTCCCCTATATAATGTTTCTCACTGCATTTCCTGAAATACATTTCATCTAAGTTCCATATGTTTATCTGAAAAGAACAGCCACTTACCGAATTGTGTTTCCAACTAGGATAGTGGCCACAGTTGTAGTATCTTGTGCATTTGTCAAGAGAGGTCATCTGAACACTGAGATAAAGGCTTGGGATTCCATGCTCCTATCTCTTTCTGGGAGTGATTTTCTTCTCATCTGTAAGTGCAGAGACAGAGTCTTCAGGGGGAATTGAGATTACCTCCAAAAAACATTTGTGAAGTGAGCGATTCCCAGAAGGCTGTTAATGTTGATTAATGAAATTATACAAAAAGAATCATAAGGCAACTGGAGGAGAAAATTATCTGTGATGCCTGAGAAAAGATACGTCCCAGTGGGAGGTAAGTACAGAATACTGAGTTCTGAGATGTGAGGAAATTTAGTTGAGGTAATGGTTCTACTAGAATTGTGGCTACCATTAAATTTTTGTTCCTTCAGATTATGATTTATTTCTCTTCCTGATAACATTAAACAATCATAAATGTGGAAGGAAAGGAATTGTTGAGGGTAGATTTAGAGAGAGTAAACAGGTGCAAAGCCACGGTTCCCGTGTGTTTTAACAAATACTAACTGAGCACCCGCCCTGTTGCAGATGCTTTCTAGATGTGTGAACAAACAAAGAAATGTATCTACCTTAATCTGAGTTGAGAGAAGCACACAATAAATAATAAAGGAAATGTTATAAGTTACATAGTGACTTATAAGGTGTTATAAGTTATGTAACCTATGTTACATATCTGTAACTTATGTTATAAGTTACATAGTGACTTATGAGGTGAAAAGTGCAATAGGAAAGGAAACATGAAGAGCAGAACCGAGTGATGAGGAGCCTGTGGAGTAGGAGGGACTCCAGTAGGGAATAGAGGGGGTAGGGTTGATCTCATATGGAAAATGATACTTGAGCAAATATTTAAAGGAGGCGAGGGAATGAGTGATTTGGAGACACATGAAGATGTTCCATGAAGAAGTGGTCAGAACAATGCCCTTTTGGCAGGAGGATGCCCACATTTATTGACTAGTTAATGTGAGAAGATAAAATCTAGGGTTTCCTCCCCAACTTGGGACCACATTGAAGGTCTTTTACAGATCCAGAGCTTCCTGTGGGATTGGCTGAGGCCTTTGTTGTGAATGTATAACATGTCTACTCCCTCTGCCCAATACTGTTTACTTCCTTCGCCTTCCCCAGGTACTGAGGCCAAGAGCCATTCCAAATAATTGTCCTGTGTGATAATCTCCATCTCAATGACTGCTTGCCTGTGAACCCAACCTGTGATACAGTTAAATTAATTTGATGTTATCAAATATTTGGTTGAATTGTTAAAGCAAGCAATCTACGTATGTTAGTAAAGAAAGTATCAAGCCAGGCGCCGTGGCTCACGCCTGTAATCCCAGCACTTTGGGAGGCCGAGGCGAGCATATCACGAGGTCAGGAGATCGAGACCATCCTGGCTAACATGGTGAAACCCCATCTCTACTAAAAGTACAAAAAATTAGCCAGGCGTGGTGGCGGGCGCCTGTAGTCCCAGCTACTCGGGAGGCTGAG